TATATATATATATGCATAATAAAGTGCAGTAAACCTGGAAATCATCAAGAAAATAAACAGCTATTTGTTGATGATATCAGAATCCTTTTATGGCCATCATAATTATTGTGAACCAAAAACAGATAAAAACAATTTCACAAAAAGCAAAACTACTTGTAAAACACACAAAGCCTAGTTCACCAACAACTGATGACAAAATAACACGCAAGGTCAGGTTCCAATGCATTACATGTATTTGGCATTTTGTAATAAGGGTAAAAATAGGTATCAACACTCGGCCCACATCACACCAATTCAGCCCTGGCTTTATAACTGAATCAAAACACCCTGCCTGGAGCATGAGTTTTCAGCTGAATAATCCTTCTGCCCTGCTTCCTTCGAATGGCTTAACAATGACTCCAGACCAAACATGTGACTCAAACCACTCCAGATACATTCCCCTTTAAGCTCTAATCATTTTAACCAGAAAAACACTAGTCAAAGGGAGTACACAGACCAATGTAAAAAAAAAAAAAAAAAAAAGGAAAGGAAAAGTTACTTTATGATTATGAATACTTTATAAAAGAAGTTAACAGATTTTGAATGCAAGTTCGCCATCAAGCAATTCTCTGCTATGAGTCAGTTGGTTTTAGTTTTCATTTAGTGAATCTTTTCATGAAACTGGGATAAAGGAAAGCTGTTTCTCATTTCTGATGTTTTGGTATTTGTATGTTCACACCTGCACTAATAAACTACACCCGTGTGTGTAATTCAGCCAAATCACAGCTTCTTTTATTGCAATAAAAACAAAAGCCAAAAACTACAACAAGTGCTCCAAAAATTTGCAAACAGTAACACGTGGAGACTGCAGTATGCCTCGGAGTCATGTTTTTTTTTTCATGTTTTCACATTAGCCATGTGCAGATTATCATTGTCACTAACCATGACTATCAGAAGAGTCCTGGCCTGGGAATGTTTACTTTCAACTTTCTAAGAATGGCACAGTTTCATTTCTAAGCAACAGAAAAAACTTCAGTTGCAGAATACCAACAACGGACATTGGTACGTAAACAGATTAGCAAAAAAATGCTTTACAGCAGTGACTGATATGTGTACATGTGATAATATATTTATTTTAAACTAGATTACAAGTGTAGAAGTGTGCATTGTTCATCAAAACAACTACAGGCTATTAGTGGCTAGTGAACTAAGACTGTAAAGTGTGTCTCCCCTCTTACTGCTGCCTGTGACTGAAGCATCTTTGTATGTTTTTCATCGTGTCTTTGCTTTCTTTTCAGTCACATTGATGCTTTTGTCACCATTAAAATTTTATACATTTTCTCATGAGGATGAAATTGATAGCTTTAAAAGAGGAAAGGGAAAAAATTACTTTTTTCCCATAAAAAAGTAATTTGGGGCATAGATTCCTTAAACAGAATAAATCTTTAACCAAAACACCCTAACATAAGGCCTTCAGGTGAATCAGATGATCTTCATCACCAGATAAAGTGTCGTCACATGTCACGAAAAATTGTAGAGCTTTCTGATTTGAGGGCTTTTTACATTTAGTCCTAAGAATTAAAGATCTAAAAAAATGTTCACGTTCAGTGTTATTCTACCTTTTCTACCTCTCAAACTGTTGTTTAGTGTGGAGATCTGCATCACATTGCTGCTGCCTGCTTTCCAAATATCGCCATGACAGTGCCTGAGCAGGTGACCTACGAAGTCTTCTGTTTATCCCTGGCAGCTCTAGTGCTGGCTGTGATTGAGCTCCTGCTGCTCTGTTGCGTCCTCAAACAAATCAGAAACAGGTAAAAGCAGCTGCCTCATACAAATCAGCCGCTCAATTCTGCAATTCAGAGTTATTTAGATTTACACTGAACTACTATTCTTCTATGTTTATTTTAGAGGTCACTTTAAACCTTCAATTATCAATAATCTCTGGTGTTTTTAGCGTGGTTCTTTTTGCAAGAACATATGTTTGTATAAACTGCTTTGATACAACTTTGGCATTGATTTTAACATTTCAGATTAGCCAAACTCGCTCTCCTACTTTTGACAAAGGCACAATTCAATTCAATTCAATTTTATTTATATAGCACCAAATCACAACAACAGTCGCCTCAAGGCGCTTTATGTTGTACAGTAGATCCTACAATAATAGATACATAAGACACTAGAGCCTTTGTATGTAATATTACAACTACCATGCTAAGCATTAAAACCACAACACTGGCTGACTTAATTCCCAGTTAGTGCATTTCTTACAATGGTGCCGCTAGCTCTAAACAGGAGTCATAGGAGTATTACAGTGTAAATAAGATTCATACATCTCTGTTAGACCCAAAGTATGTGACTGCTTATAACTGAGGTGGCAAACAGGAAATTTAACCCATGGTCTTTAAAGGACACATAACAGAGAGATGTGGCTACTATGGCTACCTGCTCCCAACCAAGTTATATGTTCAGCATAATTTATCATGGATATTTAGCCAGGTAAAAGGATAAAAACAGCCATTGTTGCGACACTTTGACTTTAAACTTGACATGGCACACAAAGACATCCCATTGTAGTACATATGGCTATCGACATGATTCGTGTGTCACAGTTGAGCCTATGTCCCAGCTACTGCAGTTCCAACACAAGAGCTGTTGTATGAAAATGCTGTTACTTAGACCAAATTATAATTTCAGCTTTGATTATGATCACTTGTTATTTCTAAGAATACCCAGATCTTTGTATTGAAACTGGATTGCACACCTGGTGAGGATTTGTTTGGATCTGTGTGTCTGCCTTAAATTCAATAACATGTGACATTGCAGGCAGCATTTATCCCTTCAGCGCTCACACTGAGGCCGAGCCTTAGTCAGAAAATGAATAGCCCTGGTAAGTAGGGCAGCCTGACATTAATTCAGCAGATGTAATGGTTGACCCAAGCATGACCAGTCTGGTGACGTCAGTCTTTGGCTTGCATACTGGAGATGTGTAGACACTTCAAGACTTGTTGAGGTGGTGCAGTGGTTTCCTCCCACAGTTGAGGAATCTAAACTGAGACTGTCTCGTTCTATGTGTTAGCCTAACTGGTGATCTGCTCAAGTCTCAGGCAAACCTTTCATCAGATGGGGTAGGCTCCAGCTTACAGCAGCCCTCTGCAGGATAATGCCAGTATATCGAATGGATGGATATTAAATAGATTTAAGTATTTGGTTAAATGATATCTTAGGTTAAAATTATGACTTTTAAAGGAAATCTCCTCTGCTGTTGGTCAGTTTTTCCCAGGCTGGTTTACTAGCGTAAAAATGAATGAAAGTAGTGAAGTTAGTGAGCCCATGTTTTCTCAAAATGATTTTCCCTTTACAGTGAATGTTTTATAACCTTTTTTATAGTATCTTACTGTTGGTATTACTGGATAATATAGTCCAAATTACAAAAATCTGTTACATTACAGATACCAACATGGAACCGACTCAAGGGGCCATAAAGGTCTGGCTGTGTGTTCAGTGGAAAAAAAAGGACCCAAAAAGTAACTTTGAGCAGTGATTAGTCTCTCCCATATCCACTGACCTTGCTGTGTGTTAAATAGCCTCTTACTGGATGGCAGGATTCAAGGAGAATATGAAGGTGTAATTACTCTTCAATGGGATTTTTATACTAGTATAGTCTGATTGGATGGATCCAGAGGACAGAGCTAGTTCTTGTGTTTCTTTTTCCAAGATGAAACAAATTCTCTAATTCAGACCTTAGGGAATATAGCTACAACGATGTAGAGACCACAAATATTGATCATCTCATTAGGTGTAAATAATCAGTTGGATCTGATTCCTCAGAAACATCACCGAGATGCAGATCTCAGCAGAACAACCTAGTCGTAAACTGACTGTCAGAACCAAGCCCGACCATGCAGACCAGCTGCTGGACCACCTGCTGGACAGAGTGTTTCTCCAGGGGAATGCAGGACTAGCATCTGGAGGAGAATCCCCAGCGGACGTTGAATCACAAACTGGAGGAGAATTCAAGAAGGAAGTTGGAATAGAACCTCAGAAGAACCTTAGAGAAGGATCTGGATCATACCCAGAAGCTTCAACATCCACTTCTCATCCTCAAAGAGGTAAGTGTTACCAAATTCACTTCACTTTTTCATTGTCATAAGTAGTTAATATGCAGTCCAGAAATATAAATACGTTTTAAAAAATGATAATTAAGTTTAAAAAGTCAGGAATATATGTTTAGTCATCTGAATAACACAAACTAAAATGTGTCTCAAAGTCGAGCTGAAACCCCAAAATAGCTTCAATAGTCCTGAAATAGGCATTTGAACTGGCATGCAGTGAATTAAGTCAGACTGAATCAAATCTGTGATTTGGTGTAGTACAAATACTGATTCATTTCTTCCAGAGTTTTAGTTGTTCCTTATTGACAGTGTGGAAGCATCGCCACCTCCTGTAACTAAAGGGAACTGCAGATTTTACAGTTTTGACTAATCTGGAAATACATACTGAAATGCTTCAGATAAGAAATGAATTTTGACTGAAGACTGATCCAGATTGTTCTCTCGTGCAGCTGTGAATCCTCTTCATAACAGACTGCAGCAGTGGTTCCAGGTGACTGCTCCTGGTCAACATGAGAAAAAAAGACATTTCAAAAGTTTGTATGAAATCCAAATTACATAAATCAAAAACTCAGCTGTTATTATATTTCCACATATTAAGTGTCATTTATTCATATGCTTATTTTTGCTTTAATATCCTTCACTCCAGCTGCATCCCATCAAACATCTTCTGTGGATCAAACCAACAACACGTACTCGCAGCAGTCCCATGAATCCCAGCATGGCTCTTCCTCATCTAAGGGTCCTTCATCCACTGCATCCTCAGAGGAAGACAAGTAGCACGATGGGACAGAAGATCAGAAACACAAACACTGATCAGATTCTGAAAGAATCTGTCAAATAAAACAGCAGAGCATATAACACTCATGTTGGCGACCTCACTAACACGCAGCATTAGAGGAAAAATTCTTGTTCTTTACTGAAGTTAAAGGAGTTACACCAAAATTTATAAATATCAGTTGTTTAGAAAACTAATTTGGAATAATGTACAGCAGTATTAAAGGTGCCGAGTACAGAAAAGTGAGCATGGTATACAGTTATACATAAAATATGGTCAAATATGATACCAATTTTTGGGATAAAGTTGGTAAATTTCTGTGTTACAGCAGCCAAAACGTTAAGCGTAACCTAGCACACTAAATCATAATCTAAAAAGAATACAATAAAAACTAAAGTGTGACTAAAATACATTAATGCATTTTAAATACAATAATGATGAGATCATTATCACTTGTAAATCAATGTGTGTGAATGTATCTGAAGCATGAACGCAGCATGGAAATGTTGTCCTGGGTTTCGGACACACTGGGGTTTCTTGTTCTGTCTCTTCCCCATGTTAAGTTTACTTTTACATCTGTGATTCTCTGCTTAGTTTTCGTTGCTTACTTCCTGTTTTACTTTATTAGTCAGTCGTCTTGTGTTTTTAATTATCTGTTATCATCGTTTTGTGTTTGCTGACATGGAATTATCTGGATTTTTTTTGCCATTTCAGTTTATGGATTTTGTAACTCTGGGCCCTGAACTACAAAGCAAGTTCAACATACCAAGGGTATATTTCCATTATCTGTGTCCACTGTCATGAAACTGGCAATCGCTATAAGCAGTCACATGAAACTATTATCAGCTTGCCAAGGCAACCCAGGGTTTTTCCTGCATATTCTCATGAAAGGGGCGGTGTTGCAGTGTCTGATCATTTAGAAGGGGCATTTTCTGGAACAGATGACTTCTCCTACACAGAAACTGTGTAACACAGAAACCTCTCAAGAAACTTCCAGTTGCTTTTCGTTCCAAGCTCCTTAGATTACTCTGACCTGGATGACTGAGAACCTCCACAGACAATGTGATGAATGCTGCAGAAAATCATTAATCTGGTGATTTAGCACACAAAGTGATAACAATTTAAATTCAGCTTAATTAGCCACTATGCTCTCTATGTTACTGTTTCTTTCTAAGGTGACAGACCCATTTAAACATCGAAGCTTAAATAATACTGCCCCACAGTTTAATAAAGGAGTTTGTCAGCATAGCCACCTTCTGACAGTTTTAGTTTTTATTCTCCCAGCTGCAGACTCGGAGATGTTTAAGGGTTTGGAAGATTATTTACAATCTGTTTTTTATATTTACAAGTTGGTCTATGTACAAATTTGATGTGAGATGAGCAAGTACAGGATAGGTGTCATATTTTAAGATGCTTATAGAAGAATACGACTATTTTTAAATTGTTTGCTCCAAATAAATATAACAAAGTCAAATAAGAAAGAGAATCTAAGCTCCAGGGAGGCAATATAAATTGCCCCCTAAACCTAATAACAAGTTGGGTCACCCTTAGCAGCAACGGCTGCAATCAAGCATTACTGGCAATGAGTGTTTTATAGCACTGTGGAGGAATTTTGGGCCCAGTCATCTTTGCAGAATTGTTGTAATTCAGCCACACTGGAGAGTATTTGAGCATGAACTGACTTTTTAAGGTCATGCCACAGCACCTCAAGCAGATTCATTTCAGGACTTTGACTAGGCCACTCCAAAGTCTTCATTTTGTTTTTCTTGAGCCATTCAAAGGTGGACTTGCTGGAGAGTTTTGGATCATTGTCCTACTGCAGAACTGTTACGGATTCAAATATTGGGGATGGATACAAGAGGAAAAACCAAAATAACAACACTGGTCCGGCCGGGTTGAGTCAAACGATGATTTTAATGATCACACTCGTGGGAGATGGACACCGTACGCGGACAGCCTCAGATCTCAAAATGGTGGAGCATTGATCAAACTCTTATAGCCTCTAGTGGCCCCCACCTAATCATAAAAGCCTAAACATTCACATTCTTTCTCTCACACGGCGCCTAAGCTACGACCTTGGCTCCCTGTTTATCTGCTCCTGCTGAGATGGGGCAGAAAACCTCTCCAGTATCTTCTGTTCTCTTCTAATCAGACAAATAAGGCGATGACTTTCTGCGAACAGTATTTCTTATAACTCAGCAGTATAATGCATCATAAAACAATATCATTCATTCACAATAAATCAGCAGTCTAATGTAATACAGTTTAACAAATGTAATAGTTATCACCTTCTTCTTCTTGAGGATAATGCTGCCTCCTCCTACTTCATAATTTAATCTTTAATTAGGGGTCTAACATGGCATAAAATAATATTATAATCTCACAGAACCCAAGTGCGCTTCAGCTTGAGGTCACAAAAAGACAGCTGGAAATTGTTATTTCAGTAATTACATTATATGTGGCATAGTATGACAATGTTTGAGACAGGACAGGCAGGTAAAAAAAAGGAAAGGGGGCAGAAAATGGGGAAAAATATAATAAATGGACAGAGCACAAATACAAATAGACATGTAGAGTGTATCACCAACTGCTGCACCTGTAAGAAAAAAAAACAAGCATACAGCATGTCCATCCTAGCAGGAGAAGCAAGGACGCCCCAGATGGGCCACACTTGGACAAAGCTTCAGAGTCCCAGAGGACTAGAAGCAACAGGCAGTCGACCCCGCTAGAGACTGGCCACCCTGGTACAAGCCGAGAACAGTTTTTAGTTTTTCTTTTTGCTATATTTACTATAATTTGATTTTCACTGTGCAACTGAAGAAACATATTTAAAAACTCTCCGCTGCTTGACTTCCTCTGACCATGTGGTGGCAGCAGAACTCAATATCTGACTTACTACTAATACTCATACTACTGTCAGTGAAACATATGTACAGCTTGTTTAGTGGAACTAATCTACATGTATACAGACTCTATCTGGAATTTTCGTTAACCAAAGGAAAGGAATTTAGCCAAACAATTCAATATGATAAACAAAACGCAGCTTTAAACTTACAAATGAAAGCAGAAAAACATTCAACATGTTTCATTTTGTCTCCCAGAAATGTTTGATGATTACTTTATGGTTTACAAAATGTCTCACATAGGATGATTTCAAAGTATAAGGTTAGGATCACTGGGCAGTAACTGTTATTTGACATTTGGATTAGATTTTTATAAAAGGAAAGAAATTAAAGTTAGCTTTATTGTCAGCTCCAATATGAAGAAAATTGTAGAAACATAGAAATAAAAAATACAAAAACCAAAATACACAAAGTAAAATAAGAAACTTAAGACAAGAAAATGCCATAAAAAAACTGTGTGTAATAGAGTGAGTTGTATAATACAGGTATGATAATGTCCTTAATGTATGTTACCACTTACGGTAAATGTTTGGTTTTTTTCACATTCTGCAAATAAAAGAGACAAATTGATATGAATCGGCTGTCCACTAAACCTCTCAACCTTGCAGCGCAGGCCTGTCGCCCTCTACAGATTTTCAGTAAAGGAGTGCAAACCGAGCTCTCATAAGAGCTTAAAAATCAGGGTGATAAAATGAAGCGTATGTTTGTTCTAACATAAACTTCATTTCCTACTAAATTGTTTTTTCTCTTTTTTAGGTTGTGATAGATGTACTTTATTTGCTTTTACAGCTAGTAGCTCTTCTTTAAGAGTTCCCAGTAACTCTTGGAACTTTAGTGGATTATTTTTCTGTAACTCTAAAACTGAAACAGAGTTTTAAATGACAAAGAAGTGTCTTAGTTAAGTAAACATTTTGACAAAATAGCACGTATTTTCCTATTTTTTTATGCCACGTCTTTATTTCCATATTTTCATGAGCATTATCAAGTGTGACGATGTTGACGCTAGATTCTGTTTCATCTCAATATAAGCATAAACTTAAAAAGCATTTAACATTGTGCTTATAGGAAATCATATCTCAGCCTCTATGAGACAGATTTATGTCATGCAAACTTTTTATTTACATATCACAAATCAGTGGCAGAAGGACATGAGACACATGACTGATGATCAGGCCATATAACAAATTCCCGGACCATGCTTAACAGTAATGATGGCTGGGAAACCCAGTTTAAAATAATCCAGACTGCACGGCATATCACTGCTGTGGGGCAGTCTCAGCACACAAACCCTCTGTATGAAGTGTAATAAAATCTAGAACATGCATATTTTTTTTTAGGATTGTTCAAAGATCTAAAGCTTCTGAAAAAAAGTTTAAAAAAACATATTGACATGGTGCAGTTTGCACATGCCCTCCATCCACTGTATACTGTCATTCGATGTGGCTAAAAATAATGTTTATTTAATGTTATAGTAATTTTTTTTACATAGCTAGACTGGTGATTCAATACTGGACCTCCCGGTATGTACCCATAATGGACGATTTGTATTACAAGATTCTGAGAATTCTTCCCCTGGAAAAACTGACATTCACCTTAGATGACAATATTGAGGGATTTAATTAAATCTGGCAACTGGTGGTGGATTCAATCGACCTCTCTGGACTGGAATTTTGTACATGGTCTGATGTGACTAAGTCTGGCCATTGACTTCAAAATGGGGCACTTCGTCATTGGGGTACTCTGCTTTGTTGTGTACATCCATAGAATCTGCACAACAGGTTAATTGATATCCTGCTGTTTTTAGTCTGAACCGTTAGATTTTTAGTGTTTATTTGTTGATTGTTGGTAAATTTTCCTTTTAAAAGGAGAAGGTTAATAGCCACAACATAAGGAAAGGTTGTACTGTATAAAGCAAGTCTATTATTTTGATAAAAGCCTGCAAATTAAATTTGTTTTTTAAAGCCCTTTAAAGGCTTTTTGTTTTTAAAACAAGTGGAAACACTGAAAGCTTTCAACCAGCTCATAAAACTAATGATGGCATGAGTCTTCTATGAGCTGTCTACACCTGATTAAAGCCAGATGCAGTTCTCAGCGGATGGCAAAATCAAAAAGAGGGGGTAGAAAGGTAGAGTTGTTTTGGTCTCAAATCAGAAATCCATTAGATATGAACTAGCTGA